CTTACATCCATGACGCGTATGACGCGGTGTGGAGTCCATCCTAAACCTTCAGCCCTAACCCTTACAGCGTAAACCGCCATAAATAGCCTAAACCTGAAACCCGGACCCGAAACCCTAAACCCATTCAACTTTCCTTCTCGAGCAAAATACGCTGTTGCAGCTGCGCCCCCCCTTGGTTCTACCCTTGGTTCTACTTGTAGACCCTCAAGCCCTAAGCCCCAAACCCCCCCAAAAAATGGATTCTACAAGCTTGACCGTGTGTTCCTCTGCAGATCATCCGAAGCCTTGCGTTGCGTTACCCCCCTAAGCTTTAAACCCTAAACCTAAACCCTCAAAGTTGTATGTGCGCGGCACGAAGCCCCGGTATGTGGTATCATCCTGAATTTCCCAAGTTGTGGCCTACCAACAGCAGCTTCAAAAACCAAGTGTAAGTAAATTGATAGAAAACGTCCCGGCAGGTCAAATGATCAGTCCTAAACTTTGTATTCGCGAGGCCCCAGGAAGGCTTCCCCCCCTGTTCCCCCCCTCTCTCCCTCTTTAAAGTGTGAACCTAGGTTCCAAAATCGGTCAAAACGTTATTGGGACCCGCTACAATCTCTATAAACCCCAAACCCTAAACCCTAAACCCTGCAGCAGAAACCCTAAACCCTACACTTTCGATGATGTGCTGGTTCATGAAATAGCGCCGAGTTAACCCTAAACCCTAAACCCAAAAACCACGAAACCCCAAACCTTAAACAAAAAAAAGCCCGAAACCACGAAACCTTCAGGCCAAGTCCGGGCCGTCATTGGGAGCTCGTTGCCAAGCTTCTGTTGTTCCGGCCATTGTGTCTTGATGGGTTTAGGGGTTTAGGGGTTTAGGGGTTAGGGGTTTAGGGGTTTAGGGGTTTAGGGGTTTAGGGGTTTAGGGGTTTAGGGGTTTTAGGGGTTTTAGGTGTTTAGGGTTTAGGGGTCATAGAGTTTGTACGAGTATAGGGTTGTTTACAGGATTTGGGTTTGTAGGGTTTATAGGATTTTGGGATTTAGCATTTATAGGGTGCATATGGTTTTTCGTGTGTATAGGGTTTAGATGGTTTGCAGGAGGGTTTCATGGCTGCGCAAAGCGCCTTTGTTCAGTTGGGAGTTGACATCACAAGCGACCACGCGAACCTTCAACCCTAAACCCTAAGCCCTAAACCCTAAACCCTAAACCCTAAACCCTAAACCCTACACCCTAAACCCTAAACCCTAAACCCTAAACCCTAAACCTTAAACCCTAAACCCTAAACCCTAAACCCCGCTTTGCTGTGGCTAGTCGGGTGCCAAAAAAAACCCTAAACCCTAAACCCTAAACCCTACTAAACCCTAAGCCCTAGTCAGCGTTGAGGGGGACTGGCGACACTGGTGGAGGTTGATGCATTCGCTAGCTCCTTCTTGCCTGCAAACCACACGGACGTCCATGGGCTTCGGCTCCCAAAATATTGAGCACTGCCCTCACCCTGCCTTGGATTTAGCTGCAGTCTGGGGTTTTGGGGCCTAAGTTCCTACACAGCCCGCAGTTCCGGCTGCCACAGGTCTGAGAACCGAAGTCCTCAAGGGGCACGTGTAGTTCCAAGCGTTGCATGTTTGACCGCCCTGACCTTGAATGCTTGATCATGTCTCTCCTTGTCAACGAAGTGAGGTTAGGTGTGGCAGTGGCCCGGCTAAATCCTAAACCCCAGTCCCTAAACCCCAATCCCTAAACCCTGAACCCTGAATCCTGAGCCCTGACCCCTAAACCCCGAAATTTTGGAGCACAGCCCCTGAAACCTCCAAGCCCTAAGCCCGCAGCTGCCAAAAAGGGGACCCAGAGACTTCAAACCCGTATCCCTTGAATTGTAATAGGAGCTCGGATATGATTTAAGGCAGATTCCTGAATTAAGACGTTTTGGGAGTCACTGGGTTGCTCGGTCTTCAGTCTCGACCTCCGCGCCAGAGTCTCGTGCAGAGGCAGCGTGTCGAGCGCAACGGCTCTTAACGCTAAACCCTAAACCCTAAACCCTAAACCCTAAACCCTAAACCCTAAACCTTAAACCCTAAACCCTAAACCCTGAACCCTAAACCCTAAACCCTAAACCATAAAGCCCGAAATTCCCAGCCAACATTCAAGCCTTGTCGAAGAAACCGCGCATATTGCCAAGGCCCCTTGTGGCAGGCCAACATCACAGACCTACGTGACGGACGGAAAAGCAGTGGCTGGCCTCAGGACAATCCTTGATCTGCAACAAAACGCATGTCGCGGGGCTTTTTTGTGTTCTTTTGTGCAGTTCCTGCGATGTCATCTGGGCTTTCCCAAACGAGGGGTTTTGAGGGGTACTTTACCCTGAATAACCGTAATATACCCCCCAAACATAATGATCCTTACTATCGGAATCCCCCACCAAAAAGGTACCCCCCTATTTTCGGAGAGCCCAATCTGAGCAAGAGGCGGGCTTGGCAGGGATGTGGCAACATGCGGCCATGAACTATGATCGCCTGTGAGGCATCGGGCTGGGTGCAAACATCAGCACCCCCTTGAGCCTTAAACTCATGTTTTTGGGGTGTCCTGGCTGGTAGAGTGTAGGGGAGCCTTCCCCTGGGTGCTCGCGCTCGCGAGGCAGAAAATCCGCGATAGGACGGTGTGGTTGGTAGCTTCGACTGGCTCCTTTTGGGTCTGGGACCGGGAGGTGGCTAAATCTCCAGCTCCGCGCAAGCGAGGCCAAAGAACCTAGAGGATTAAACTTTGCTATTCCCATTTCAAGATGAAACCCAATCATTTTCGATATATGAGTGGTCGTTGTGGCACCGTCTTGCGCGTATGATGAGTGGGTAAAGGCTCAACCGCGGCGTCTTCATTTAGCGCCAATGCACCAGCATCTGCAATTTTTCCACAAAGTGCCGACAAGTTTACGTGGACTCGCCTGGCCCAACTGCCGGCATCTTTTACGACCATTTCCTGCTGCATTTTCAGATGTCTCCACGCACATGCATGTGTGAGTGGTTTAGGCTTCAGGGTTTAGGGTTTTTTGGAGCAGCAAGCTGTGCAGACTTGAGCAGAAGACGTTGCGCAAGCATACGGCCACAAGTATGTGCAGGGGCATGGCCTCATCCTAAACCCCAAGCCCTACAAGCTTACCCTAAACCCTAAGCCGCAAACCCTACGAGTCCCTGCAAGGTGGCCTGAGTGTCAGCTAGGGTTTAGGGTTTAGGGTTTATAGGGTTTAGGGTTAAATGGCCCCGCCGAGAATGCTCAATCCGTCCGTCGCCCACGCTGAGGTGGTCATCTCGGAGGTGGTGGATGTGGAGGCTAAACGCCTTTTCCATTTGTAAGATTAGGATTCAGGGTTTTGGGTTTAGGGTGGCATACTGTAGAGCCTGGGGTTCAAAAAAGAAAGAAAAAGGGTGGCATGTGGATCAGCAGAGAAATGTTCGTTAATCACAAGGGGGGGGGTGCCCTTGGATGTTTTGTTTTTGGGTTCAGGGGCTCTGGTGCTTTGGGGGGCTCAGTCGTTGTGGGCTTCGCCCCTTGGGGCGTGGCTGCGGAGGATATGGCGTAGGATATGGCGTAGGGCTGTGTGAGAAAGGTTCATTTTTGTGGTTGTTTTAGGGGCTTGGGATTCTCGTGGGGCTCAGCTTTCGCGTTTCTGGCTGGATGTTCCCCTTTATGCTGAGAGTCCTTAGTAGGGATTCAGCCTGGAGCGCTGTCTTGGCGAGCCTGTGGAGGCCGATCCTGGAACACAGGGTTTAGGGTTTAGGGTTTAGGGCTTGGGGTTAGCTTGTTGATTTTGAGCGGTGTTGATTCAGTGCTGCAAGGGTTCCTTAAACATGACAGTCGTTGCGATGGAAGACAGTCCTTATTAGGGATGATAATAGGTGGTACTAGAATCCCTATGCAGGGCTGGTAGCATAAGGGGGAGCATCCCAAGTTTCTGGTCCCCAGATCTTCCAAACCCCCTTAACTAAGGAATTCACCCTAATTCATAACAAGGATCCTTAGCATAAATTAGGGTCTATTCCTTAATTCAGGGTATTGGAAACCCTAAACCCTAAACCCTAAACCCTAAACCCTAAACCCTAAACCCTAAACCCTAAACCCTAAACCCTAAACCCTAAACCCTAAACCCTAAACCCTAAACCCTAAACCCTAAACCCTAAACCCTAAACCCTAAACACTAAAACCCTAAACCCTAAACCCTAAACCCTAAACCCTAAACCCTAAACCCTAAACCCTAAACCCTAAACCCTAAACCCTACACCCTAAACCCTAAACCCTAAACCCCAAACCCTCGAGTGCTTCCCATTCCCAGGACCCTGCTGCAGAAGCGGAAGAGTTAGCAGGGCGCCTCGACCGAAGCCGTGGGTGTGTGGAGCCCCAGCATCCCAAGCGAGCTTTAGGGTTTGGCTAGGGTTTAGGGTTTAGGGTTTAGGGTTTAGGGTTCAGGGTTTAGGGTTTAGGGTTTAGGGTTTAGGGTTTAGGGTTTAGGGTGTAGGGTGTTGGGTGTTGGGTGTAGGGTGTAGGGTGTAGGGTAGCACTGGAAGCCTGTGCTTGGGCAGTTTCTGGCAGCACCCACGGGAGTCCGGACGCAAAACGTGTTTAGGGTTTAGGGTTTAGAGTAGAGGTTTAGAGGTTTAGAGGTTTAGAGGTTTAGAGGTTTAGAGGTTTAGAGGTTTAGAGGTTTAGAGGCGTAGAGGTTTAGAGGTTTAGAGGTTTAGAGGTTTAGAGGTTTAGAGGTTTAGAGGTTTAGAGGTTTAGAGGTTTAGGGTTTAGGGGCAGGCTCATCCTCGTGGAGTGCAGTTGCGTAGACCTGTCGCTAGGAACGCTGGCAGTATGCATGCTTGGTGTTCCGATGGGGTGCTCAAGGTGTGCAACAGTACCCTTGCATGTCCAAGACAGGTTCATGCATAAGCATTGTGTCAGAACACACCCACAGGAGCTGGACTGCTTTTCCACCTGTAAACTAGGCCCACTGAATAGCACCCTTTGCTACCGGAATTGGAACGTCATGGCCGCGGCCGTCGCAACAACGCTCAATGTGGCTGATGATGGCAGTGATGACGGCCAGTGCAGGCAACATTGCATGTTTCACCCGGGGGATATCCTCACTGGATTGGCGTGGTTGAGAATCCGTCCTGCGCCTTTAGCTTGAGGTGGATGAAGGTTTTTCGTCCTGAACCAGAGCACATCAAAACACCGCAGAGATGCCTCTTGCGCCTGCGCCCATAGCTTGCGAGGACCAAGCGGGAGAGTTTCTTCAGTGCGGACGCAGGAGCATACGCAGGCCGGTACCGCTGCAGACCCTCAAAGGAAACCCCAAGAGATGTGCAATCTGTCATGGCGCGGAAGTTTTTTGTTTAGGGTTTAGGGTTTAGGATTTAGGGTTTAGGGTTTAGGGTTTAGGGTTTAGGGTCTAACAAATGCCGACGGAAGAGCTTGTTGAGTCTTCCTTTTCTTTTTTTGGCTATGCGCGGTCTGCCCAGGTCAGTCAGCAGGAACTGGTGGTGGTACTCCTACTCCCGTTGGGTCCACGGACCTTGCTGGCTGGCCTCCGCCAGCAAAGAGGAAATCCGAGGTCGGGTTTAGGGGGCTTCGGGTTTAGGGTTTAGGGTTTAGGGTTTAGGGTTTAGGGTTTAGGGTTTAGGGTTTAGGGGGCTTCGGGATGTATGGGTTCAGGCGTTGGAATGCTTTAGACTTCCACGTTTTTTCGCGGGCGGAGGTATGGTGCAGATTGCTGGTGGCTTGTCCTGACTGCATGTTTTGGCATCTTGCACCTGGCATGGATGCTGTAAAGATACGACCCACAAAGGTCCCTGTTAGCTCTTAGGGCTTCGGGAGTAGGGCTCAAGGTTTCGGATTTAAGGTCCCTAACCCTAAACCCTAAACCCTAAACCCTAAACCCTAAACCCTAAACCCTAAACCCTAAACCCTAAACCCTAAACCCTAAACCCTAAACCCTAAACCCAAAACCCTAAACCCTAAACCCTAAACCGCCTTGCAGCAGATCCAGGGAGCTGGGCCAAAGCTCTCAATAAGCACAGTCACAAGTCAGAATCCTGCGAACGACCCGGCAACAACAAACACTGGCTGGTTCTTAGTAGGGAATGAGGGAATGAGGAAGGAGACTACCAAGCGAGGAACAACATCTCCGAACCAAACGGACGACGTCTGACACCCCAAACTTGAGATGTGCCCCCCTTGTACTAGCAGTCCCTACTCGAGACCATGGCACCCGTATGTTACGTAAATCCTTATTAAGGACTGTTAGTATAAGGGGGAACATCCCAACCCTAAACCCTAAACTGTCTGGAGGTGCCAACCTTCTTAGCCAACCAAGCAGCGCGATCAATGCCTCGGCCATTGCTTTGTTCGAGCTGCGAGCCGAGACATCTTCGTGACTTTCTTGGTTTCCTTGAAGTTTTTGGATGGTAGAAGTTGCCGTATATGGGTACAACCTCCGATCTCTAGTTGGCATAGTTGATGGCTAAGACTAGGACGGTATCTGATCGTCTTGGAGCCCCTCTGTTTCGTTCTTGATGAGTGAAATATTCGCAGTAGTCCATCTGAAACAAGTCCAAGAATATCACCTCTGAAACAAAATGGAACTGAGGTCCAATCTTTTGATTCCGGTCAAATGTATTTAAGGCAACCGCTTGCTTGAAGCACTTCCTGAAGGTACATGTCCTAAATACCGCACCACACAACGAAGGGCAGCTTTGATAGGCAAGCAAAAACATACGTATATGAATGTATTCACAATACACCACAATACTATTCAATTCTGCATTACATTCTCGCCATCTTTGCTTGGGAAGCGTGGTGCGACTTTGTTGTTTCACAGACATCGTTCCTATCTTGATGGTTATAAGGTCTTTGGATATTGAAAGACGTTGGACTTGTTTCACTGGTGCACAGCCCTCATCGTTCATGTGCTACTCATCTTCCACAGACCTGTTGGGATCTCATCCGCGCTCGCTCATTGCTTTGCTTGCAGACATTCCGAGGCTTGCTTGTCACGCTGACGTACTGGTTCTGCTTCGTGCGCCTTGGACATGTTAGGGTTGGGATGTTCCCCCCTTACATGAACCGTCCCGAATCGGGATGATGGCACCCCCAATTATAATCCCCATGAAGGACTGTCAGGATAAGGGGGAACATCCCCATGTTAGGTATCTAAGGTGTTTAGGGTTAAGTGTTTGTGAACTCTGACCATCTCCTTGGTGCAAGAATCGGCTTGCTGGGAGAGGATCCTTCGCGCATCCGGTTCATATGCTTGTCATACGACTGGTGCATGAGATTCGCCCAGTTTGCGGTTATCCACGGGGCGACCGTGACGCTGAGGTATTCGCAGGTTGTTCATCAAAATACAGCGGCGTCTTGGGAGATCCGGGCCACTTTCAAGCACCCTGGACGTGGAATAGTCCGCGGAGTTGAAAGTGTTGGGCAAACAAGGTTTATGGTTCGGGTTTAGGGTTTAGGGTTTAGGGTCTAGGGTTTAGGGTTTAGGCTTAGGGTTTAGGGTTTGGTTCGGGTTCGGGTTCGGGGGGGTGCATGGCGCAGACCTTCTACATACTGGCGGGGCAGCCTGTCATTTGGCGGTCAGGATGTGCATGCCCCCAGGCATGAGAGAGCGAGCGCGCAAGAAAGAGGTAGAGATGAAAGCACGAAGAGAAACAGGGAACGAGAGAGAGAGAGAGAGAGTGAGAGTGTGAGAGAGTGATAGAGAGAGTGAGAGAGACAGACATAGCCAAGGAACTGAGGGATTTCCCTGTGACATCTGCCGAGCTGCGTTTTTTTATGTCTGCACCCGTGTTGGTTGTGACGCCCAACATCTGTGCCCCAACCCTCAATCCCGAACTGTAGAAGCAGACGCTGGGTGGGAGACCGTGACCCTAAACCCTACTTGGAGGTTCATGGTACTTTTTAACCAATTATAACAGTACTTATACTGTACTTCCATATTCGGGCACTTAAGGGGCCTATAAGTGGGTGATACGTACAGTTATAATTGGATAATAAGTACCATGAACCTCCAAGTAAGCCCTGCAATTTGCAAGGATATCGCGGGAGGCGTTCCATAAGTGGGGAAGCCCCAAGAGGCGTTGCAAGGCCAATCAAACAGACTAGGCCCAGGCCTAGGCGTTGAGTGAGGGTTTCGGGTTTAGGTTTTGGGGTGTAGGGTGGTTGGAAAAGGGTTTAGGGTGACACTCTTAGGAGATGGGCCTCTACTTCTTGCAGACATGCAAAGAACTGCCCGTCGCACATGCCCCGCTCTGAATGTTTCCAGCCGGTTGAGGGCTTCGCAGTCTTGCACTGCGGGCAGTTTTCTTCTAAGATTCGGGCTGGGCTCTACCATTATTTACTTTGAAAATTTGCGCTACGCACTGTGAGCCCTCCGTTACAGCTCCGTTACAGCACCTGCTACAGTTCCGTTACAGCTGCGTTGCACCTCCGTTACAGCTTCGTCACAGCTTCCGCTAGAGCTCCGTTACCGCTCCGTTGCACCTCCGCTACACCTCCGTTACAGCTTCCGTTACAGTTCCGTTGCAGCTCCGTTACAGTTCCGTTGCAGCTCCGTTATTGCTCCGATGCACCTCCGTTACAGCTCCCTTGCACCTCCGTTGCAGCTCCTTTACAGCTTCCGTTACAGCACCTGCTACAGTTCCGTTACAGCTCAGTTATACAGCTCCGTTACAGCTCCGTTGCAGTTCCGTTACGGCTCCGTGACAGCTCCCGTTACAGCTCAGTTGTACAGCTCCGTTACAGTTCCTTTGCATGTCCGTTACAGGTCCGTTACAAGTCCGTTATCAAGTTGCTGCTTTTGCCACGGCTCCGTTCCAGCTTCCGTTGCAGCATCGCTACAGCCGGTAGCGTTCCGTTGCAGCCTTCCGATCCGGCTCCTTTACAGCTCCGCGACAAATCCGTTACAGCTCCGCTCCTTTCCGTTACAGTTTCTGTTATCAGCCCCGTTACCGGAGAGCATTTCTGTAATAGTAGAGGCCTGCAAATGATGGTAGAGCCCCGCCCCAATTCTAAGGACCTCATGCAGAAGCCTCTATACGAGAGGCTTATGTGAACAATGCATACCCGCTGATCCTCGCTCTTGACGCTAACCTCAAACCCTGAACCCTAAAAGCTAAACCCTAAACAGGCAAGTTCGAGAAGGGAAATAACAACCTAAAACAGGAACTTCGAGAACATCATGGACCGGAGAACCAGCAAGCCTCTTGGCGTCAAAGCTCGAAACTCCACTTGCCCAAAACATCCGAAGTCCCGAAGCCCTACGCCCTCGGACTTCGTCCCTGCTGAGTGGCTCGTCCTAAACCCTAAACCCTGAACCCTAAACCCTAAACCCTGAGCCAAAACACCCTAAACCCTCAACCCCAAACCCGAAGCCCTAAACCCTGAACCCTAAACCCTAAACCCTAAAGCTATGCGGGAGGGAATAGCACCCGGCCCTCCAAGCCCAACGCACGTAAGGTTGAAAGCAGACGTTGGTGATGAACCCGACGACATCGTTTTCAAGGATTCCAAGTTTCCATTACGGTGACGGTTTGGGAAAAGTTTAGAGGGTAAAGAAGCTCAAAGAAGCGAAGTTTAATCCCGGAATTCTGCCCAATCGCCCTGCGAGACGGTTTGGAGGGTTGAGAGTTGTTTCGGGTTTCAGGGTTTCTGGGTTGCGCGGGTTGTTTCGGGTCTAGGGTTTAGGGTCTCTGCCCAAAAGGTGTTGGGTCATGGGCAGATAGAGTCCTTAAACCCGAAACCCTGATTCCTCATAAACCCTAAGCCCTAAACTGCAGATGGTTCTAGTGTTCAGAGTTGGCCAGTTGCCAGGAGCTCTCACACAGGCTCCCCCAAAGCTCATCTGGGAGCTGATGCATTTCTCATGAACCCTCGTCCTCAGCAAGACATGTCTGACCTCTGTACCATACATTCTTCTCTAAAACCTAAACCCTAAACCCTGAACCCTAACACCTAAACCCTAAACCAAAAAAATAAACCTAAACCCTAAACCCTGAGACGGGTACCGGCCGAACCTGAGAATGTTCGCAGATCTCGTGAGGACTACTCAGAGATGTACACGTGGCTTCGCGACGGCTACTTACCCCTGCTTTGGGAAGAAGGCCAGGCACGCAACAGCGAGAGACTGTTGTCTGAATCAGAACTTTAGCCCCGAAGCTCAAGACTGACTACTGACCCTTAAGTCCAAAACACCGCGCAACCCAAGACAACCTAAACCCTAAACCCTAAACCCTCAACCCTCAACCCTCAACCCTAAACCCTAAACCCTAAACCCCAAACCTTAAACCACGAAGCAGGCCCATATGGCCGGGGCCTCCTCGCCGGCCGGATGCGCCTAGTGGGGGGCGCTGCTTGGAGTGAAGCAGGTTTAGGGTTTAGGGTTTAGGGTTTAGGGTTTAGGGTTTTTTGGGGTTGAGGGCTTAACACCTGGGGGTTTCCGAAATTAGGGTACCTTCTGGGGTCCTTATTATGAGCGAATCCGACTATTTGGGGTCCGTGTTAGGGGCCCCAATTTTCGTAAACCCAAAACTCTGAAGTTGGGAGTTGAGGGTTTCTATGGATGTGCAGTAAAGGTTCATAGTTCACAGGCCTCTTTTGGACTTCGCTCGGGCTTTGTCAGCTTTCATAGAGGGAAGGCTTGCAGTTTAGGGTTTAGAATTTCCCTTGCACCGGACCTGGGCCCTAAACCCAGGCCCTGAAATCTCCGGGCCAGAGTTGGTGTCGAGCATCACAGAAATTCTAGAACCGACGCTCGAAACCCTCCCCCTGATAGGAAGGGCACAGTAGTGAAGCATAGGAGATGTAGAAGCTTCACGTGGAGGGGTGGGGGTAGGGGAGGGGAGAACCTAAACCCTAAACCCGAAACCCTCAACCCTAAACCCTAAACCCTCAACCCTAAACCCTGTGTGCGCGTGCGAGGTCCGTTTATCTCGGCAGAGGGCGCAGCCAGTCAAATGCAGCGCAGCTCGGGCGAAGCAGCACCCAAAAGCGAATGAGCCGCGAATCTAAAGCCTCCAAAGCCCTAACCCTAAACCCTAAACCCTTAAACTAGGATAAACGTTGAGATGTTGCAACTTCCCCGCATTGATCCCCCTTTTACGCTCTTTAAAAGCGCCCTATCTTTCCGAAGAGAAGTAGTATTGCCGGTATTGGTCCCTGCAATGTGCCCTGAGTGTCAGCTAGGCGGGTGGCAAAGAAAAAACCCTTAAACCCGTACACCCTAAACCCTAAACCCTAAACCCTAAACCCTAAACCCTAAAACCCTAAACCCTAAACCCTAAACCCTAAACCCTAAACCCTAAACCCTAAACCCTAAACCCTAAACCCTAAACCCTAAACCCCCAGACCCGAAAAGAAGTACTAGAAGCAGCCGTGAAGGCCTCAAGGAAATTGCGACAAGGGCTGGAGGTTCGTAAGGCCATCTTTACCCATTGGGTTCGACGTAGGGTTTCGGTTGGGGTTGGGGTTTAGGGTTTAGGGTTTAGGGTTTAGGGTTTAGGGTTTATGGTTCAGGGTTTAGGGTTTAGGGTTTAAGGGTTTAAGGTTTAGGGTTAGGGCTTTGGAGGCTTTATCGTTACTATTCGTATGTTTCGTTCTTATGACTACTATGATTACTATTCGCACTGGTTTGACTGTTCTGAAGACACTTACTAATTCCTAGTGCTGGCATTGGTCTTACTTTTTTTCGGTTATTCTTCTTCCTATGTTTATTCTTCTTTGTATGGTTGCTAGTATTGCTGTTCTTCTGCTTGTTGCCCATTTTAATTCTGCACTATTACTGGTCTTGTTGCTCTTACGATCAACACTCTAGTTACCATGAGCATCGTTGGGTGTGCTTGCAGACTGTGCGCTTTGAGGCCAGAACTGGTTTGGGGTTGACCTTGTGAGGTGGATCGAGCCGAGTGCTTTAAGAACGGCTGTTCTAGAAAAGGTTGCTCGCGGTCCTGCTTGGAAACCATTACTAGGGAAGGACTTCTGCGCCGTCCAAGCAGCTTACTAATCCCAAAATCGAGGACACCAACCCTAAACCATAAACCCTAAACCCTAAACTCTAAGCCCTAAACCCCAAAACCCTAAACCCTAAACCCTAAACCCTACACCCTACACCCTAAAAACCCTAAACCCTAAACCCTTCCTAAGGGTGAGTCGTCAGAGAAGCGGTGGGTGGATGCCATCTACAATCAGTCCTGCTTCTCGGCGGGTGGTGAGACCACGATAGAGGAGGCGCGCCCGTGGTCTAGGTTTTTGAGGTTTAGGGTCTCGGGTTTCATTCTTCAAACAAAAGGGTTTAGGGTTTAGGGTTTAGGGTTTCGGTTCGAGGCCGTTAGATATGGACGTACTTCCAAAGCACAGAGGTGAGTGCGCTCGACATGGGGATTTACGAAAATAGGGTACCCCCAATATAGACCCCCCGACTAGCAGGATCCGCTAAAAACAAGGACCCCAATCAGGTACCCCCAATAGTCTCAACCTCGTTTTGAGAACCCCCCCCCCCCCCCCCCCCCCCCCCCCCCCCCCCCCCCCCCCCCCCCCCCCCCCCCCGACCCCCTTCTCTCATTCGTTCTGTTTCCCCCCCCCCCCCCCCCGACCCCCTACCGAGGGGGTCGGGGGGCCAATCTCTGGCTTAAGAAGGGCAGTTCTTTGTAGGAAAAAAGGCTCTGGACCGGGGGTTTCTTAATTGAGAGGCGGGGGGGTTTAGAATTGAGTTCCGGGCTTGGGATTTCTTAATTGACGGGGGGGGGTGGGGGGGGGTCGATAAAAACGAGGTTGGCAGTTAACATTTATCGTAAACCCCCAGGTAGTAGTAAGTCGCCGGAAGTGGTGTCAGATTTCTCAACGCTCGAAAAAGCCGAAGGGCTTGCCGGGCTTGTGCCCCTGCACCGACAATCGGATTACTTTAGTGTTTAGGTTTTGGGGCTTAGGGCTTAGGGTGTAGGACCGCAGCCACGGCAGGACACCTACTGGTTGGACATCATGGAGGACCAGAATACCATGCTGGAGCATTTGCTCCACCTTGAGACAAGCGGCTGGATCACTCGGGAAACCATAGAATCTTGGCGCGCTTGCCAGATGCTCTCAGCTTTGTTTGAGCACTAAACATATAGGAACAACAACGAATATTGTTGGTAGTTACTCCGACCCCTAGATTAGGTGATCCGGCACATCGCTCTCAGGAAATTTCAATTCAAGCCTTCTACTTCAACGCGCAGAGCGAGAACTTTGTGCTGACGCAGGTTGAGTTCTCCTTGGAGGACACTGGGCACCCTGGATTTTTGGATATCTGAGGACTCTGCAAGCAGTTCCGTTGACTCCTTGGCACAAGTTTAGTGAACAAAGGCCAGAAGCCAATCAAGTCCGACGCGCCACGAAGCCTTGAAGCCTGCAGTCCTTAGCCCTAAACCTTAAACCCTCTCATGCATTGTATCATCAGAGTAGTTAGCCGGCTGCTGCTGGGGGGGGGTTTGGAGTGTGGGGGGGCGGGGGGGTACATCTTCTGTTGCAAAGAAGGCCTTCCTGGGAACCAGTTGAACTCATTGGTCGATTTAAGACAAAGTCTTTAACATGTCCCATGTTTCAAGTTTTCGAGTAAGAAGTGCAGTCCCGGCAGTCCGCCGTTCAGACAGAGCTAGGCGGGTGGCAACAAAAAGCCCTAGACCCTCTTTTTCGATCGACTTGAGCGTTGCTTAGTGAGAGCCAATGGTGTCAGAATTTTCTGGCAGTAGTCGCAGCACCGGTCCGGAAAAGTGTGGCCTCAACTAGGGTTTAGAGTTTACATGCTGCTTGGGTCATGGAGTCGCTTAAAGCCCTCAGCCCTAAGCCGCACAGAAAGAAGGGTCGTGGAGTTGCTTGTAAGTAGGGAACCCAAGGTCGACACCAATGATAGGGCTTGGGGCTGAGAGGCCCCCCTAAACCCTAAACCCTAAACCCTAAACCCTAAACCCTAAACCCTAAACCCTAAACCCTAAACCCTAAACCCTAAACCCTAAACCCTAAACCCTAAACCCTAAACCCTCAACCCTCAACCCTGAACCCTCAGCCTGGACACTTTGAACCATCCCTGCAGTGCGGTTGCAGAGGCCGTTAGAGCAGGTGGCAAAAACACCGAGCCCTCTTGCTGGCCCAGCCCCTAAACGCACAATGCAATTCCTAGGTAGGTTCTTAACCCTCTTCTGGCTCTCGTAAACAGGGACCTTACTCAGAGGGTCTATGTCTGCAAGGGTCCCCCTCATCCTGTCTCCTAAGGTACCTGCATGGTGAGAACGAGGTCCTGATGGTTCCCTCGTGCCTTGGGCCGAGTTTTGGGCTAGCAGTCCAAGAGTTGCTGGGTGTTCGAAAGTTCCATGTTCAATTCCTCAGCACTTCAGCACCAAGCACTGAAAGCCACGTCGTTCAAGTCGCAGGATGGTGTAGATTCGGGGAGCCCTTTTTTCGTAGGTATGGATATGATCTGAGTCCGGAATGAGAGCCACCCTAAACCCTAAACCCTAAACCCTAAACCCTAAACCCTAAACCCTAAACCCTAAACCCTAAACCCTCAAGACACAGCATTCTTTGCCAGGGACATCTACTCCGCCAAGGGCCGCTTCTTTCTTTCGAACGTGGGCGCAGATGTGCCTGAGCTCATGCAGAGGAGCTATAGATGTTGCAATGTCAGGGTTTAGAGGTCTCACGGCTTCGGAAGACGGCCTAAATAGGATTCCAATCTTACGGCACCTGCTGAGATGTACACCACCGGATCCCTTTCCAGTTTCGCAGAAGGAGAAACCTTGCCTAAACCCCTAACCCTAAACCCTACACACTGTTTTGACATGTTCGAGAACCGACTGCCCACATCTTTTTCCTCCAAGAACGAACGGACCCAGACCCAGCCTGCGGATCGGCCAGCGATGCGGGAGCGAAAAAAAAACCCTACAGCCTAAAGCCCTAAACCACTCTCTATCCTTGCAGCGCGGTTTGCCCAGCTAGACAGGAATAACAACCCTCAGCCCGAAAATTTAGACCATATGGCCGTCATAACCCTAGACCCTAAACAGCCCTAAATCAACCTTTGTGCTTAAAACCCCAAAATTCTCTCACAGCCCAAAACGCCCCCAAACCCCCGAGCCCCACAAAACCCAGAAAAAGCCAAAAAGGCACAGCAAAAAGAACCAGCATCACAAACCCCAAAAACAGGGCCAAGCGGCACGGTCTCCAGGTCTTGGCGGGCTTTTGCCTGGCAGCGTGCCTCTTCGTCGAGGTGCTGATGTGGCGCCAAGCAGTCGCTCAGTTTTTTTGTCAAGGGTTCGGAGACTCAATAAACCCTGAACCCCAAATCCTAACCCCGAAACCCAAAACCCAAAACCCTAAACCCTAAACCCTAAACCCTAAACCCTAAACCCGAATCCCTGGACCCTAAACCTTCCAAGATGACAGACCTTCGAACCGCATCCTTGCCTGCCTTGTGCGCGTGTGAGAGGCGAAGCCCTAAACCCAGAAAAGCTAGGCGGCTGGCAAAAACCCTAAGCCCTGAACCCTAAACCCTAAACCCTGAACCCTGAACCCTAAACCCTGAACCCTAAACCCTAAACCCTCAACCCTCAACCCTAAACCGCAACTTTGAGGCTTGTAAGGTCGCTTGGGGCGCAGGGTGGACTTGGGATTGGGAGTTTAGGGCGCACACCTTCTTGCAGAACCGGAACCCTATACCCTAAACCCTAAACACTAAACTGCTCAGGTCAAGAATTTGGAGCTCAAGGCCTTCATTTTCAACATCTACCGCCTTGCCAACCTCTTGAGCTGCTCGCCTGAGAAGGGTTGAAAAGCACCGAGCAACTGAATTCCCTATTCATTCCAAGACCAAGTTCCAGTTAGGGTTTAGGGTTTAGGGTTTAGGGTTTAGGGTTTAGGGTTTAGGGTTTAGGGTTTAGGGTTTAGGGTTTAGGGTTTAGGGTTTAGAGACCTCGTTCAAAAAAGGGTTTAGGGTTGAGGGCTTCGGCTTCCTCATTCCTAATCGGAGGGGCATCTTCTAGTACGATGTTTCTTCGGGGTTGGAGAGCGTCGAGGCACTGAAGGATCCTGGAAGCCTCTTGCGGCTCCATCTTCGTGGGTCAAGAACTCTCTGGGACAGAAGGGTGGCGTTGGGTTTAGGGTTTAGGGTTTGGGGTTTAGGGTTTAGGGTTTGGGGTTTAGGGTTTGAACCTCCTTCCTGGACAGCTGCGACCCACCGCCACCAGAGGAGTTGGGCCTTAGCCGTGTCGAGTTTGCAGCGTCCCAAGCCCGTGAAAAAACTGTGGGCTCGTTGGGGGGGGGGGGGGGGGGGCGGCGGCGGGTGAGTGGCGTCACAAACCTTCGGTGCCCAGACTTGTCAGGTGGACCTCTCCCAAGTACTTAGGGATACTTGGGGAAACCTAAACCCTAAACCCTAAACCCTAAACCCTAAACCCTAAACCCTAAACCCTAAACCCTAAACCCTAAACCCTAAACCCTAAACCCTAAACCCTAGACCCTAAACCCTGAACGAAACAGCCAACATTTTTGCTAGGGTTCCAAGTTCAGCATAGGCGCCGGGGCCCAATGCATACACCCCAAGATGTCATCTTCCCGACTTAGAACCGCTTTGCTAGGAAATCCCAAAACCCTCATACCCCTAAATCCTACACCAATCCCTGAACTCTAAACCCTAAACCCTAAACCCTAAACCCTAAGCCCTAAACCCTAAACCCTAAACCCTAAACCCTTAGCCCTAAACCCTAACCTCTAAACCTAAAGCCTAGGCTTCGTGGGCGGCATCGTCTACCTTTGCTACTATGCCTACCTCAGCAGCCCGGGCCCGCATTTGCAGCGGGTTCGGATTTCGCATCCTCAGTTCACAGCAAAATCTGTCTCTTCTGATTAAGTAGGGTTTAGGGTTTAGGGTTTAGGTTTAGGGTTTAGGGGTTTAGGGTTTACGGTCTAGGGTTTAGGGTGCTAAACAAAGGCGAACTCGCAAAAGTACGATGCAAAAGCTTCTGAGTACCTTTTGGGGCTTCAAGCAAGTCCAAACCACTTCAGCAGGAGTGCACTCTGTCTACGAGAAGCTTCAAACACTCGGAACACTTGCCGAACGTAGTAGCGGACTCACCGCATTAGGGTTTAGGGTTTCGAATTTAGGGTTTAGGGTGCGAGCTGTAGAATTGGCATGCGGTTTGGCTTCCCATCCTTGAGTGCTACTTGGAGGTTCACGGGCACATACTGCCTCAACTAGAACTGTACTTCTAAACTCGAACCCAAGATACCACGGGGACTTCTAACTATGAGCCAATGAGGCTCCAACCCAATGCTGACAAAAGCGCTAGAAAGGTTGAAGAAGCCCTCCGAAGCCCTAAGCAAACCGTAAACCCTAAACCCTAAACCCTAAACCCTAAACCCTAAACCCTAAACCCTAAACCCTAAACCCTAAACCCTAAACCCTAAACCCTAAACCCATAAACCCTAAACCCTAAACCCTAAACCCTAAACCCTAAACCCTAAACCCTAAACCCTAAACCCTAAACCCTAAACCCTAAACCCTAAACCCTAAACCCTACACCTCAAACCCTAAACCCCAAACACTAAACCCCAAAGTTTCAAGAAGCCCTCTAAACCCCTAAGCTAGACAAAGGCGGCTCCGTGGACCAGATCGCCTTGAAGCTTTCCGAGCTTAGTGACTTGCAGGCCTCGGCCAAGGGTTTAGGGTTTAGGGTTTAGGGTTTAGGGTTTAGGGTTTAGGGTTTAGGGTTTTGACTTGCAGGCCTTGGCTGGTGATCTTTCAGAACCTTCCCCAAAAAGCCTTTTTTCAACAAAGCCCTTTAAACCCTAAACCCTGAACCCTCTTTCTAAAACCCTGAACCCTGAACCCTAACTCTTAAACCCTCCCCTAAACCTTAAACCCTCCCCTAAACCCTGAAGCCCTAAAGCCCTAAAGCCCTAAGCTCGAAAAAGAGCGAGCCCAGATTGAAAAATGTCGCTCCCCTGGTGGCAACCCTGGCCCCTCTGATGACCTGATCTTGGTTCGAGGGTTTCGGGAGACCGGGTGCCCTAAACCCTAAACCCTAAATCCTAAACTTTGAATCCTAAAACCCTAAACCCTCAACCCTAAATCCTAAACCCTACACCCTAAACGTCTATAGTCCCTGCGCAGTGGCGTACGTTGGCTTCTGAACCCTAAACCCTAACGACCCTATACCCCAAGAAGCTCTACGCAGCGAAAGCTCCAGAGCTCCAGGCACTAGCAACTGAACCCAGATTCCCAAGCCCTAAACCGGGTTTAGGGTTTAGGGTTTGGGGTTTAGGGTTCAGGGTTTAGGGTTTAGGGTTTAGGGTCCCAAACCCTAAACTCGCTTAAGCCCCACTCCCCAAGCCCTAAACTGTTGGCCCAACAGCACCAGCATGGAGCCTGCTCTTGCAGTGCTTGCAGACACCCTAACCCTAAACCCTAAACCCTAAACCCTAAACCCTAACCCTAAACCCTAAACCCTAAACCCTAAACCCTAAACCCTAAACCCTAAACCCTAAACCCTAAACCCTAAACCCTAAACCCTAAGCCCCTGACCAGCAACCCAGTAGCGCGTGCGCAGGACCAGGGCTTCATGGCTCGCGTTCCCGGTCAACTCACCGGGGAGCCATGGCTTCCAGGGATTTAGGGCTGTGGCTTTGGGGGGTTTCGGGTTTAGGGTTTAGGGTTGAGGGCATATGGTTCAGGGTTTAGGGTTTAGGGTTTAGGGTTGAGGGCATATGGTTCAGGGTGCAGGGTTTAAGGGGCTGTAGGGTCTAGGGCGAGCGTTTAGAGTGTGGGGTTGCGGACTCGAGGGTTGGCGCAAAGGCTTCCCCCGCTCTTTCAATTCAAAGCTCGCTTTCGCCTCCAACAGTTTTGCCCCGCAGTGCGTGGCTAAGCCGAACTAAACCTTATCCCGAAACCCTACTAAAGGCCTTTCTCCTGGGCAGGTAAGAAAAACCTCAAGCCCCCTAAGGTTCCCCCCCCCCCCCCCTTGCTGAACGCAACCATGCAGGATGGGCCCCGCCAGAGCCCGTATGGCTTAGAGTTGGGGTGTCCTCCCTGATACTAAAAGTCCTTAATAGGGATGATAGTTCCCCCTATTTCTAATTCCTATTAAGGACTGGTAGTATAAGGGGGAACATCCCAGGCAGGTGAGAGGGGTCTTGTGCCCCCGAGGTTGGGGATTGGGATCTGGCGCAGGGCTGTTTCTGGGGCTTCGGCGGCGTTTTGGGGCTCCGAAGAGGCTCATGGTCTGCTAGCGGTAGTCCTTTCTTGCCAACATCAGTCACGGGTCTTTATTTTCAGGGTTTAGGGTTTAGGTTTTAAGGTTTAGGGTTAAAGAACTACTGACACCCCACTTGAGCTTTCGAGTTGTAGGCGCGGTACAGCTTGCTCGACGAGATTCACGACCTTGCGTTTGAAGCCTCCGTCTTGCCACTTGTTTAAAGCTGCCCGTGCCGGGAAGCTTTTGGGAAGCGTGTCTGTTCAAGAATGACTCTATGTAGGGGAAATATCCGACAACCCCTTTGTTACCCCCCCAAAGAACGAAACAGGTGCCCCAACTTTTGGGAAACCCTCACATGATGCCTGATTCTTATCAGAACTGCTTGGGCTTGAGATCCCGCAGTGATGTGAAGTCTGAAATGGCAGCCTTGGCACAGTTTCCGGAACTTTGCTGGTGCTCTAGGTATCCGATTGCAGCCGGCTCGAGCGGCCAGACGTAGCAGCCCCCTCCCCCATGTATGGTTCGGGTCCAGAGGGCAGACGCTGTCTCTGTTGCGTTTTTGGCCATCTACACCAGATGTGGATGCGTGCATTGTAGGTGCAGCACCAAAGGTCAGACTGCCCCGAACCTACAAAGCCTGAAACACCAAAGCCCACCTCACCAAGCCCCTGCCCAGATATCGGGGAGCGCAGTGGATTTGCTTTTGGTACATGCTCGTGCTCCTCATCAAATTCGGGGAAGGCCCGGACCTGTGATTTTTAAGGGTCGGGCTTCAAATTGCTCGGGTTTAGGGTTTAGGGTTTGGGGTTTAGGGTTATTAGGGTTTAGGGTTCCGCGCTTCTTGCGGTGCAGGTGCCAGAAGGTCTATGGTCGAGGGTTAGGGGGTCGAAAACCGCAAGCTTCAACTCCCACGCGTTTGGGCTACCGTACGGCCCCCTTATGCGAACGGTCCTTAATCAGTATTCTTATTTGAGGTACTATAATCCCTATTAAGGACTGTTAGTATGAGGGAACATCCCAATGTTTGGCCCTCAGCCCGGCAACCCAGGAGCTCCAAAACCCTCCAAATCCCCTCAACCCTGGTCTTACCGTCAGCAAAGGGTTTAAGGTGCTTTGGGTTTAGAGGGTTCAGGGGGTTTAAAGGGTTCTGGACATCAAAAAGGGGGGCCTTCAGGGGGAGGCTGTGGGAGTTCACGCCCCAGAAGTTCTTGGCCTCATGGTTGCGGTGTGCAGACACAACGTTGCACGCGAATGGGCTTCACCCTTCACTTCAGGGTTTAGGGTTTAGGGTTTAGGGTTTAGGGTTTAGGGTTTAGGGTTTAGGTTGTAGGGTTTAGGGTTTAGGGTCCCCGGCCAACTGCCCCAAGCCCGGATGCAAAAAGGGTTTAGGGTTTAGGGTTTAGGGTTTTGGGATTCTGGAACTTCCCAAGATGAGAGCGCCCCAACTACCCAAAAAAGGAGGACATGGGAAAGCATCCCCAGGGTAAAAACAAGGCTTTCGGGGGGCGCCAGGCAGCAAGCGCGCATAATTATATGAGAGTGTAATATGTAGTAATCATACATAGCAATAGTAAGTCATGACAATACAACCATAGTAATAACCACAGGCAAGCTGGCCAACACCGATGGCTTCGGGTTCCATAGTAAGCCCCCCAGGCAATGGAGCCCATTAACGAAGCCCGTTAGCGAAGTTTGTTCAAGATCTGTTTAGTGTTTAGGGTTTAGGGTTTAGGGTTTAGGGTTTAGGGTTCAGGGTTTAGGGTTTAGAACCTTCGCATCGACATGCCAACCACCCGGATGCCCACTGTTGAAGCAGGGGGCGGGGGGATGTTTTTCCAGAACCCCAAACCCTAAACCCTAAGCCCTAAACCCTAAACCCTAAATGCTGCAGTTCGCCATGTTGTACTAGTCTATCGTCGCCTTGAAGCACATTGATCTGGAAAGCTTCGCGCTCTTACGCAGCGGAAGGCTGAAAAAGGAAAGAGAGGGGTCGGAATAATTACTAATGGTATTCTCTTATGGTCCCTATATAACTATACGCACAGGCCGCTACCTTTGCCGTCGCGCACTGTTTGAATATGGTTTTTGGTGGCACGGGAGGCATGCGCAGATGGCGAATTTTGGGCCAGGAAATTTGGGCGTTGCCGCTGTGGGTTTTTGCTTGATTTGGAACACTTTTTGTTGCCGCTGGGCGCCACGTTTGCCGTCTGGCATATGAGTACATTCTCAGCTCAGCAGCTTATGTGTACGCGCATACAAAAAACACTGTTATTTACGGTGTTTTCCTGCTTTGAGCCCAAGACATCCTATCATGTAGCAGAGCTGAGAGGCTTTCATTTGCGCAACAGTCGTGGTCCAATAGGAGGCAGGTAACACGGACGTTCTCATCGTGCGGACACGGATGCTCTGGCCATTCGCATTCGCACAGACTGGTAACGCGGACGTTCTCATCGTGCGGACATGCATGCTCTGGCCATTCGCACGGACTGGTACCACGGACGTTCTCATCGTGCGGACATGGATGCTCTGGCCATTCTGCAGTGTTTTCTGCATGCGACCCACACGGAACACTGTAAATGCCGATGGAAAACCATGCTAGAAGCGTCTGAAAAAAGCAGGTGCCGAAAACACTGCTCCCGCCGGTTTTTTCGGCATGCGACACACACGAAACACTGTAAATACCGATGTAAACGAGAGGCGCGGGTTGCGCTCGATCATCCGACCGGAGGGCAAAAAACGCTAAAGCAGATGCCTATGAAAAATCAAGAATCACTTCTGTCGCAAGGTATGAGGACTGTCGTCCACCCGCATTGTTGTTCGGATTTAGGGAGTTTGTGAGTTCAGGGTGATAGCTTGTGGAATTTGTGTTTTTGCGGGTTTAGGGACTTTGGGACTTCATTACGGGTAAGAGCTTGTGGAATCTGTAGGGAATGTGTGAATTCAGGGTGAGAGCTTGTGGAACATATGTTTTGCGGGTTTCGAGTTTTTGGTACTTCATTCAAAGAAATTCACGGGCCCGGATGCAACCACACGCCCCCCCCCGCCCCATGAGTAGCAGCCGTGTCTGACAGCAAACCTGGCGGCCTGGGGGTAACTATACCATACTGACCCCCCAAAAAACCTGTTCCAATCATTAAGGCCCTTTTTTTTAACAGAAACCGACGAAGCAATACCCCCAAAACCCTATTCTAATCATTAAGGCCCTTCTTTTACAGAAGCCGACGAAGCAATAGTTGCAGGTCTCCCAGTTTCACCTCGGTTGATGATCTTCGTCAACACCCTCTACGACGCGGCGGCTTTGTCAGAGGGGCTTTACGGGTTGAGGCACTTCGCAAGAAGGGTTTAGGGTTTAGGGTTTCGGGTTTAGGGTTTAGGGTTTAGGGGGGCCAAAGGGTTGAGGGCCTTCAGGAAGCCTGGGGTATGCAGTGACATCAAGCCCCGCGGCCGAGATGGGAAGCATCTTCTACTTCTTCATAGTATTCTTCGTGGTGCCACTCGCCTTAACCATCTTGATCCCCTCTAAGTGGGGGGAGCCAGCGCTGCCTAAACACGAAAAAGGGGGGGATGGTTCGTACCTGGCTTTCTCTTCAGATAGTTGAGCTTGGATCGCATCCCTAAACCCTAAACCCTAAACCCTAAACCCTAAACCCTAAACCCTAAACCCTAACCCCTAAACCCTAAACCCTAAACCCTAAACCCTAAACCCTAAACCCTAAACCCTAAACCCTAAACCCTAAACCCTAAAGCCTAAACCCTAAACCCTAAACCCTAAACCCTAAAGCCTAAACCCTAAACCCTAAACCCTAATTCTAAACCCTAAACCCTAAACCCTAAACCCTAGACCCTAGCGGTCGTCGCGGTCGTCGTGGTCGTCGCGGTCGTCGTGGTCGTCGTGGTCGTCGTGGTCGTCGTGGTCGTCGTGGTCGTCGTGGTCGTCGTGGTCGTCGTGGTCGTCGTGGTCGTCGTGGTCGTCGTCGTCGTGGTCGTCGTGGTCGTCGTGGTCGTCGTGGTCGTCGTGGTCGTCGTGGTCGTCGTCGTCGTCGTGGTCGTCGTGGTCGTCGTGGTCGTCGTGGTCGTCGTGGTCGTCGTCGTCGTCGTCGTCGTGGTCGTCGTGGTCGTCGTGGTCGTCGTCGTCGTCGTCGTCGTCGTCGTCGTCGTCGTCGTCGTCGTCGTCGTCGTGGTCGTGGTCGTGGTCGTGGTCGTGGTCGTGGTCGTGGTCGTGGTCGTGGTCGTCGTCGTCGTCGTCGTCGTCGTCGTCGTCGTCGTCGTCGTCGTCGTCGTCGTACCATGACGTTTGCGGGAGGACGTGGGTGTTTTGACATATTTTTTGCCTATGTTTTGGATCGAGGGGAGGGGGGGTAGAAGGGGAAGGCTTGGTTCTGTTTTTTCTCATCTAATTACCCTTACCCTTAGCAGCCGCGTTTTGCTGGCTCTGCCAGCAGTTTTTTAGAACCTTGTAGTGCTAAACGCCCCATTTTCGCACATTCTGAAAATAGCACACGCGCGAAACACGGAGGAGTTCTTCTGGACCGAGCAAAATGGCGAATGCAGTAACTGTATACGACCACCTACAAACGCGCGTCCTCCTCAGTAGTAGCACGAGTACTAGTACTAGTACTCGAACTAGTACTAGTACTAGTAGTACTAGTAATCGTACTAGTAGTATTTCAGTGCTTTTACCGTGGCCACCCTTGGCCTTAAACCCGACACCCTCAACCTTAAACCCTAAACCTTAAACCCTCTGCTGACCTTTGAAGGCACGAAATTCTTCAGCATCTGCTTGTCATTCAGTTTGCCTCTGCGGAGCACAGTCGCTAGGCCCGAGACCCTAAACCCTACACCCTAAACCCTAAGCCCTAAACTCTAAGCCCTAAGCCCTAAACCCTAAAACCCTAAACCCCAAACCCTAAGCCCTAAACCCTAAGCCTTAAACTATAAACCCTAAACCCCAAGTGCGCAGGTTTGCCAACTTCGCCATGGGCGCCCACTTCCTCTTCGGTCATATACTTTACTCTTGGTCGACAACCTTTTTGCCTTTCGCTTCCTCCTTGAGGCACCGGGACTTTGCACTCTGTGTTGTTCCGCGAGCCCGAAACCATAAGCCCTAAACCGAGTGGTTCTTGCATTCAGTCTGCATGTTTCGGACGAAGTGCTGAAGCTTAGCAACGCAGGCGCGGGTTTGTGAATTGATAGGCGGTTAACAACTTGCTGCGGAATCGACGTGCGTAGTAGACCCTCTTATGCACCGTGCTTTGAAAGCCGAAAGGACAATTTGCAAATCCCAAAGCCTCTGCCGTAAACCCTAAACCTAAAACACTAAATCCTAAACCCTACACCCTAAACCCCAAACCCCAAACCCTAATCCTTGAAAGGGTTCTCATGGGAGACTTCGACTTTATGGCGATGTACGACATTGCACCGGCCACTGGGCATCCTTGAAATCCGCAAACCCAAAGCCCGAGACCCCCGAACTCCTGCTTACCCCCCCGCCCCCCTCCACACACTCTTCCCGCCCTAAACCCAAGACCTTTCAACCCGAGACCCTGCACCCTAAACGCTAAACAGAAGTTCGCAACACTACTCTCAGCCTGTACTGCGAATCAGGCTCTCCTCGCTTAGGGCTTCCTACGAGGCTTTTCTGGGCTTGCGGAAGTAAGCTTTAGGCGAACAGCGACATTCCGCCAGAAGCACCCCTCCCATCTGGGGAGCGTACAGTAGCATAGTTGCAGTTCTATGCAGTGCATAAACCATATCATTGCCTAGGTGAGCTCCGTCTCGTGGTTCATGATGTTCATCGTGATGGTCGCCTTTGTGCCTCTGAACCAAGGGCTCTTCGTTTATGCCCACTCGGTTAATGCGTGTGATTTCCGAGCACTTGTGGGAATGTTGTGCTGGTACGCTTCATGGGTATGTGCGATGAGTGAATTTCACCTGCAGTCATTCGGCAGCGTGCCTGCTATGCAAGCATCCAATCCACACTTCGATCAAGTGGTTGGCCGCTCAGACCATTTCGGGGCTTTTTCCGCGATCAAGATCACGCAAAAAATTGGAATTCAGCTCAAGCTGCGCAAGGGGCTCCGTATTCAATATGTATTGGTCCAGGGCTCTTACGGTGCGGAGATCAGGTGCTGGTAAACCTCTTCATCGCCATTGTGACTGACTCCTATCAGCGAGTGCACCACGCGACGGTGGGCCATCCACACGAGGCAGGTTTAGGGTTTAGGGTTTAGGGTTTTTAGGGTTTTTAGGGTTTTTAGGGTTTTTAGGGTTTTTAGGGTTTTTAGGGTTTTTAGGGTTTTTAGGGTTTTTAGGGTTTTTAGGGTTTTTAGGGTTTTTAGGGTTTTTAGGGTTCAGGGTTGAGGGTTTAGGGTTTCGGTTTTGGGGTGTTGTTGGGTACGGACTCCAATACCCCTTAATTTAGGATTATTCCTTAAAGCACACTAGGCCTCCTCAATACCCTCAACCCTCAACCCTCAACCCTAAACCAAAAACCCTAAACCCTAAACCCTCAACCCTAATCCCTACTATG